TATATTGTATCTTTATTTATTTATTCATTTATTTTTAAATCATGCTGTATTATCTTTATTTAAGCATCAAGACCCTTCCATCCAACTATGTCACCTAGTAAGCATTTCACCCACTGCTCTGTTTGGCTGCCCAACCCTTATTTCTCTCTTTGGCAATAGTGAGGTGGGTACCTTTTCCTCGGAGAAGAGAAATCCAGTTGCCTTTGCCAATAAAAAAAAGTTGGAAAGATGGGTGGCAAAGCTGTTATCACTGGCATCTATCACGTGGGCCATATCAAAAGAACCAGGGTGTCTCTTTCTGTTGGTGATCACACCCACTCTTTCCAGGTTAACACCAGCAGTGTAGGTTCTATCATTGTGGTCCTTGCCATCGACCTTAGTGATCCACTGCATATAGATCTTCACCTCATCTCCTGTTAGAGCATACTTGAATCTGTTCCTTAAGGAAATGATTCAAGGGAGACATTCTCTCAGCCTGTGGGGACCAGTGGATGGATGAAGAGCAAACATCCCCATCAGTTTATCCAGCATCCAATGCTTTGGAACCTCAACTTGCTTCATAAGCTCCTTGGGACCATGAGTTATGGCTGTGCTAGCTACAGGAAGCTATGTTGTATCTTTATAAGCTGAATCTATGGGACTTATTTTTTCTGGAAGATTTCATTAAGCATTAAACCACTGTGGAGTCCTCAATCCCTTATTCCAGGTATTGATAAGTATGACTTGTATGCCAATTCTGGCCCATAGCTTGTTTTTGTATGACCCACGAGTTAAAAATGGCTTTTACACTTCTAAGGGGTTGTAAAAGACAAAAAAATCCAACACTCTGAGGCAAAGATCACATGTGTTTCACAAATCCTAAAATATTTACTATCTCTGGTCCCCCCTTTTTTGTTGAGGGGACATTGGTTTACAACTGTGTATGATTTAGGGGATTAAGTTCATACCTCCTCAGATACAGGTCACCACAACACACCCGCCATCAAAACATCCATATCTGGTCTTTTAACAGAAAAAGATTCTGACCCCTCTCTTATGCAATCATTTGCTCTAATAGAATCATTGGATGCCTGAAGAGGAATGGCCCTTTGGGGGAGCTCAACCTTCCCATTATACAGACAAGGATAGAATGAGTGACCATTAGTCACTTAGATGAAGCAGCAGCAGAGCTGGGGCTAGAATCCATGTCTTATGATGCCAAAGACAATGTTATTTCCACCGCCTCACACCCCACCCCCCCTTAGACACCATCCTTTCTGGGAATACCCTCTCCATGGTCCTTACCACCACTGGCATTGCTTTGACAGTGTTCTGTGGTGTTGAATTCTTTCTTTCCTCATACTCTCATAAAGTGTAGGCCTGAAGTTTAAGAAGTTTAATGCTCTTCATTCTATGCTCAAATCTCTACTTTAACCTGTTGGACAAAGGGGTTGACAAGTTGTCAAGAGTCTTGACTGAAGTGCTTTCAGTAGACTCTCTCCCTGGTGCTCCCATTTACAAATCCAGACAGCTTGGATAACAAGAAAATTCTTTTTTTAAAATTGATTTTATTTTATATAATTCTTATATCATTTTTCATTTTTGCACAATGTATGCATTTTCATTTTGGTTATATTCCCCATAAAATTCCCACCCCCCTTATTTTGACTCTAATCCCTCCTCTCTTTTCCCCCCTCCCCAGTGTGTCTCTGGTTTATAGTTTAACAAGAAAATTCTTTCTAGAACTGAGCTCAGATCTGATGTCCTGGAGCTTTCCCATTGTATCTGGTTGTGCCTCATGCAGGCTACGCAGAGTGAGTCTGTCCCACTTTAGGTGTCAGAAAGATGATAGGCCACACTTAAGTCATCTCTTCTCCTGACCCAATGCTCCCAGTTTCTTAAGTTCTGGAGTTCTTATCCATGGGGAAAAAATTGTGGGTTAATAACTGTTGCTTCTTTTGCCAGTGTGCTTCCAACTGTAAAACTGATCTCTTATGTATGCAGGCTGGATAAGCAAGTCTGATGCCATGGTTTACTGGTGGGTTCAGGGACCTTACAGCTTTCCTTTGAGCATCACCTGAGACCTTCCCATGTGTAGGGAGTGATCAGTGGGAAGAACGGAGGCAGGGTACATGAGCTGCAGTGCATGCCCCCGGAAGTACCTACTGAATGTGGCTGGCAGACTACAGAATGCTTACCTCTCCGAATACTCATTTCCAGAAGGAGTGTTCAGAGTGGGATATGGGCAGAGGAGTGGAGGCAGAGGGTGCTGAGAAACCCATTTGTTTAACTTTTGGTTGTCTGTTAATCAGGAACAAGATATTATACTAGGAGGGATTAAAAATATATAAAATGACTACCACAATCAAGCTAATGATCATGTCCACACCATTTTCACATGACTGTTTTTTTTTTTAAATTGTGGTGAGAACACTAAAGTGCAACTGTCTCAACAAATTTTCAAAACAGTATTGTGAACTATATTCACCACACTGTATACTAGATCTCTTGAATGTATTCAATATAGTAACACAAAGTAAAACCATTATGACAGTCATGCGGAGGTGTAGGTGATGTACTGTAGATGTTCTCAGGACAGAGAGAGAATTTTGTTAGGGGGTGGGGAGGAGGAAGCTTCTGTAGGGAAGTGCTAGGTAAGGCTTTGTGGGGAAGGTGGTGTTTGAGGGACCTTGAGGGGTGAGTATACCAGAGAGAAAAAGCCCTGGGTAGATACACCTCTTCATACCTTTTATCCATCACTGACACCCTTCCTGAGTTATTCCAGCTCCCCACTCTAGCCTCTGCCCTAATATTCTTCTGCTATGTGCTTCATTTCTGAGGCCAACTTGGAAATGTTTATGTCTGGGCTGCAAACCCACTTTTCCTGTCTCCCCAATCCTTCTGGGGGTGGGTATATCAACCTTCTTCTACTTCAAAATGACCTTCAGAATGGCCTTTTCTGAGCCAACTGTTGGGGCCAGAGTCTTTAGGAGTTAATTCTGTTTTATCCCTCACTGCCTTCTCTGCTCCTTAGGTCTGTTAGTTCTCTTGCAATATCCAGAAAAACCACTACAGAGTCCTCAGGAGTATGCCCCATGGGACAGAGCATGCTGCCAGAAGTACAGAAAGATCTGAGCTATGCTGTCCCTGCCTAGCACACAAGGGTGGTCACCAAGTTTCTCTTGATTGTTTGGATATACTCAGGCCCTAATCCCTAAAGGACTATGTCCAGTATATCTCTGCAGGCTGAGCACCCATCCATGTGCCATCTGTAACCAACATGTCTGCTAATGTCATCATCAGAGGTTAAGTCCTTTAACCAGTGATGTTCTTCAGCCTCAGGACTCATCTGTGAAAACCCAGATACTTCTGACAGTGCAAAATCATTATCAGCCACTAGCATTTTTCAGGGAGATCAGCAAGCATCAGCCAAGGGAAGGCCTTGACATGGAAAGGGGAAGGGGGCAGGAGATGAAGGGCAGAAACACCACCCCATTCTGTGTTGGTAGAATGGACACTGACCTGGCCAGACCAGGAATAAGATGGAGGTTCAGAGGCAACATTCCAAGGGGGCCATGAGAAGGACTGGGAATCCTGCATGGAAAATACATGTCATTCTCACCAACCTGCTGTGCTTCCCTGCTGCCTACAAAGTAAGGCCTGTACTTTTTAGCCTCTTTTTGCTTTTATAGGGCCTGTGCTCTGCCTCCAACTCAGCCAGGTTCCCCAGGCAACACCGTTCACCATTCCTGCCCTCGGTGCAGCTCCACCCTGGCACATCACTATTGTTGTTTCTTCAGTCTCAAATAGCCTTTCCTTTTTTTCTCCAATAAAACTCGACAACTTCTTCAGGACTTGCTGGAAGGCTCTGTGAAGCCTTTGCTGACACCCCGGTGGGCAGGAATCTCCCCTTTGTTGTGTTCACCGAGGTATCATCACGTAATGAAAAGTAACATTTCTCATTAATTCCAAAGGGCACCTGCATCCCTATGTTTATAGCAGCACTATTTACAATAGCTAAGCTTTGGAAACAACCCAAATGCCCAAAAATAGATGACTGGATCAAGAAGATGTGGTACATATACACCATGGAATATTACTCAGCAATCAAAAAAGATAAACACATGCATTTTGCAGCAACATGGATGGAGCTAAAAGGGATCATGCTCAGCGAAATAAATCAGAAAGAAAAAGAAAAATACCAGATGGTCTCACTCATAGCAGGAATTTAGAAAACTCAAATAAGGGATCAGGAAAAAGACTAATTATAATAAAGTAAAAATCAAAATCAACAAGCAACTATAAACCAGAGACACACTATGGGAGGAAGAGGGGTGGAGAGAGGAAGGACTAGGGTCAAAATAAGGGGGGGGGTGCAATTGTATGGGGAATATAACCAAAATGAAAATGCATACATTGTGCAAAAATGAAAAATGATGTAAGAATTATATAAAATAAAATATTAAAAAAAAGTAACGTTTCTAACAAGCTCCTTTCTACCCACCCCCCCAAGAGGAAAGTTGTGAATTAAGTTTGAGTGTCTAGTCATTTACATAATACTTAGTATGAAGGCTGTGCATTTTCACAGAATTTTTCTTCTTTTCTTTTTGTTTCGGTAACAGCATTAGTATGGTGCATCTAAACTATATATTTCACTCAAGGTGATATTTCATTTTACCCTGATTATGCTTATAAAAAAGGCCTAAAAGTTCAAGCTCCTCCTGTTTGACAGATAAACACACCAGGTGGAATGACTCTTGAAACCAGGCCTTCGGTTAATTAAAGAGCTAGTACTCGGGCACCCTCTTTACACCTCCTGAGCCTCAGTTCCTTGTCTGTCAGATGCAGCTCCCCTGCCTCCTTCATGAGTAAACCAGAGCTCCAGGGGCTAAGGAATGTGGAAGTGTTTCCTAAAGTGAAGAGGGTAGAAGAAAACATGAGTATATGGGAACGTGTCCATTTGGCTGGCAACGTCACTTTCCTCTTATTTTCCATTAAATTTTTTATTATTTCCTCCCCAGGCTATGTTTTCCACGAATCGTGGGACAGTTGGAGGCTTCTTCCTGGCAGGCCGAAGTATGGTGTGGTGGCCGGTAAGTTTTCTCTGAAATACTGTTTTCTTAGCTACAGTATTCCCTGTAGGAGCACATTTTCTTTTTGGCTTTGTGTGGCTGTGATTCTTCCTTTCTCTCTTAGATCCCTGATAACGGATCTCCTGTTCACTAGAGCTCTCGGGCATCCTTAATCTCTGTGGGATGGGAGTAGTCTTTAAGGAAGCAATGCTTGAAATCCTTCAAGGGATTAATAGAGGAAGACTGCACAAGGTGGGCAATGTGGAGAAACAAAAAGAACACACAGTCTGAGGTGATCTTAGCTGATCACCTGAACTTCCGCTTCTGTATCTATGGAATGGGGATGGTAATATTTACCAAAGTTCTTATGGGGTGGAAACTCAATACACGGTAGTTCTTTTGCTACCTTTTTTCTTCCCCAAGTCCCATGGGGGAGAGAGTTTATCTGACCTACCTTGAAAGCCTAACACAGTGCCTGATAGAAAGGAGGCCCTCAATAAAAACTCATTGCGTGGATAGAGGAAGGTCCCCCTTCCATTTCCAATTAGTTTTCTTCATCTCTTGCGGAATTGTGTCTTTTGTTTAAGACTGATATCCCCTGACACTTATTCATGGGCAGAGCAATCCCAATCAAAGAACATGTGCTTGGGTGGAAGGGCAATTGGAGGTCCCTTTATTATATCAGCACAGGGCTTGGCTGATACATGAGTTCAACCCAGTGACCCTCTCAACCCAGAGTTCTCTCGTAAGGAAACAAGTAGTTGACCAAAGTGACCAAATTGCATATCTCCGTGGCCTTAAGATACAAACAAGACTGACTGGTTAAAGATGTGGCTGTCAAGTGCTTATCCAGCCTCATCCATGTATTTTGCAGCTGGTTCCCTGTCCCCCAAATCCTCATTATGATGAGAAACTCATATTTCCTCATGTAAAATTTCTAGGGTAGTTTTAATAGGGTTAAGACCTCAGTTTCCATACTTAGGAGATAGGTATTTTGGGTTAGGCTCCGGAACACCTCACATCTTAACTAGTGATGATGTCTTTCTTCCTGATAGCACTCAGATGTGGGTCTGGGCTGAGCAAGGGTAGAAGGAGAAGTCAGCCCCACCCAAAGCAGGTAGGGTTCAGTGGTTCATGTGGAATTTCCTGTGGGTGTGTTGTTTTCCTTACTCATCTCTCGGCATTGGATTAAGCTAAACAACAGAGAAACATGGCATCATTCTTCTTTTGTGCAGAATTCACTGCTTCCTCCAAAGACATGGTATGGTTGTTCTTTTGTGCAGAATTCACTGCTTCCTTCATGCAACTGACTTTACTTCCTGCAACAAATTTCTATCTAAGGTTTCATGTGCTTTCATGAATAGTTTCTAAACCTGTCCAGCAATCAGGATCTCCTAAGGATGGAAGCTGAGATCTTAACCCTGGTAGATGTACCCTAGAAATTTTACATGAGGGAATATGAGTTTGCCATTGTAGTGAGGATTTGGGGGAGAGGAAACTAGACGCAAACTGCGTGGATGAGGCTGGATGAGCCTGGGTGCGCTTTCTAAAAATCCAGATTTCTTGGCCACATTGCAGACCTACTAAATTAAAACAAATAAACAAAAAAAAAAACACCCAAAAAATTTTTCGAGGGGGCCCCAGGAAACTGCATTTGAAAAAAAGCTTCCCAGATGCTGTTGATAATGTTGCAGGGCAGGTCCTTGAAGTGGGGGGTGGGATGGGGCTCACTCAGTTTGTGAGTCCTTACCACACACATAAGAATACAGGCAAAACTCAAAGTAGACATACAGAGAGAAATTTTTAAAATACTTCCAAACTATTTACATATGGGGTAAGTAGAGGGAGAGAAAAAGAAGAAAATTTACTGGCGGGCATGTGGCTGTATGTTATCTGTCCTATCTGCAGATGACATCAGCTGAATAGAGAACAGTGCAAACCAGAAGCCAGCCAAAATGTGAGAGAGAGCCGGCCAGCCTGCGTCCTGTCTTTTAAAATCCACATGGCAACTCAGCTGCTGCCCCTAGTTCCCAGAAGCCCCTTTCAGGAAGTCAGAGGTGGAGTCCTCTGATTTGGCTATGGCATCATCTCTGACTCAGAAGTTGTTCCTCTTAAAATGATGAGGCCAGTCTGATGACACTAATTTATCTAGACTCTTACCGATCTGGTCAGACTTACTGAAAATATCCCCATTTGTTAGGGAGTCTTGAATAGGGAAACAGTGGCATTCCCATCTCTGAGGGAAAATTCTGTGGTAGAACAAGCATGAATTATAAAATCAGCACATCTCACCTGCCACATCTTCTAGGTGTGTGACCTCAGGAAAGGCAATGAACTTCCCTTAGCTTCAATTCCTACCTCTATAAAAAAAGGTTATCTACTTCGGAGGATTCCTGACAGGACTAAATGAGATGGTGGCAATGCTTTTCTTTCTTTGGTATAGCACCGTATGCTACCTGGTATGTCTTACGATCATTGGCATCTTAGATGTGACCAAGTATGAGTATTATATTCTAAAATCGTGATTTTTTAAAATTATTTTCCCTACAAGGCTCTGCAGAAATTCCCCAGGAGCTTCCCTTCTCTTCCTTCCCAGCTATACAACTTTAAAAATATTTTATGTAAGGGGACACTGCTATGATTTTGTTCGAGAACAAGGTTTTGCTAACTTACAAAGTTAAAAACGTCTAATTTAGAAGAAAAATGAGCGTGGTGATTTCCATTCTGAAATTTAAAATAGTTTAAAACCACTAAAGGGCCAGTTGAAAGAAGGAGTTGAAGGAGCAACAGTATGCAAGAAATAGCAAATCTCTCTCCCAAATTCAAATTGGTTTAAAAGACATTGAAACTATTCCTTTCAATTTCTTTTTGTAATGAAACAAAAAGTTAGTTTGAGCTTGTCATCAGTCTGTAAGTTCATAACCTGAATATCAGTTCTCAAAGGTGCTGGCTCAAGAGCATCGCAGGGTCTCTACGGGGCTGACATCTCTCTCAACCTGCTGGCAGTGGCAGATATCCTTCAGGGGAACCCCTTGTCCCCTCCATCCTTCTTTAGCTCTGTTGCTCTGTGCCACAGGAGGCCAGTACAGCCAGAGATGATTTAGAGTTCTAGGGGACCTCAGGATGAGATTACTTGAATTGATGTTGGATTGATACACCTGAGGTCTGAAGAGCTTGGGTAGTTATCCAGGAGAGGAGGAGGAAATTAGACCTTGTAAAGTGTGAAAGGACATTGGACAGAGGCATGCTAAGGGTGGGGGAGGGCGGCATTCCTGTGAACTTAGGGGACTTGGAAATGAATGACCGTGAATTGTAACAGGTGAAGATTCAGAAGCTCTGGAAAAAGCCTGTTTCTAAAAAGTTAATGAGGCGGAAAGAAATAATTTGAGCCTTGGCTCGGGGAAAGAAGTGAGGGACAGCTGGAGACGAGGGGCCAGGTCTGCAGAGATGGATTAGAGACACCAGTGTATACAAGGAACCAGGCAGGAACATCTCCAGGAACCTGCGTCATGGATGAGGCAAGCCAAGCCAGCTGAATAACATGAAACTATATATACTTACCTGTGTGGTAACCCAGGACTTCCTTTTGCTGTGGCCCTGTGGTTTAGTGTCTTTATCAATAATTGTCTGTTTGCTCTGTTGTAATTATTATTTGAAGATGTAGAAGGTATGAAAGCAGGAAAGTGAACTCTGAAGGGGGAATTCTTCACTCCTTGCATAATGTTTGAGGAGTTTGCCCCAGGTATGAGCACCTGCTCCATAGGGTTGCAGGGTACAATAAATGGTCTGAGCCAACTCTTCAGTAACCCTCTTCAACTCAGAAGTAAGCATTCCAAAGGGGGCGGGGTTCTCACCAGAAGCCAAAGAATTTGGCCTGTCCTAGCTTTGTGACTTTGGGAAAATCATTAACATCTCTGAGTCTCAGAGTCTCCTCTGTAGAGAGAGACAATTAGATTGAGGCTCTCAAAGGCCCTTCCAGGACAAAAATTCTCAGATTTCATTCCATAGAAGAGTGAACAAGCAAGGAGGAAATTGGGGGACATGCTAGCCAGTTAATTATCAGTGAAAGGAATCACTGTGTGTCTCTCCATAGTCACAGTTTCTTTCCTTTCTTTTTACTAGAGCACCACCAGAGAGAAGTATATCACAGTGGTTTAGGGCAGCGGTTGAAAAACTCAGTAAAGAACCAGATAGTAAATATTTTTGGAAGCTATATGGTCTCTGTTAAAACTACTCATTTCTGTTATTGTAGCATAAAAGCTACATGGACATACCATGGACAGTATATAAATGGGTGGGCATGGCCATGTTCCAATAAAACTTTATTTTCACAAACACATGGAGGACCAGATTTGACCTTTAGGCTCAAATTTCTTGATCCATCTTTTTCAGGTCTGTCTCTGGAGTCAGGCAGCTTGGGTTTGAAGTCAACCTCTGTCCCTTACTAGCTGTATGACCCTGAATGAGTTACTAAGCATCACTGTGCCTTGCACTTATTATCTCTATAGTGGGGATAACAACACCTACTCAAGGTAGTTGTGAGAACATGGACAGTCTCAGAACAGTGCCTGACACACAGTAAACTCTCAGGGTTAGCTCTTAGTCTTCTATTTTCAATGGGAAATGTTTGAAGGGTTTTCATGTCACCTATCTGATTGGATCCTTAGTGATTTAGCAAGAATGGTGATTAATCTGTTGAGTTGCCCGAGCTCATAGAAGATAGGACTTTCTTTACTGGTTATGTAGCTCTCTTTCTCTTTATCCTTTGAGATGGAAATTTATGAGGTTGATAGGTATGGTCTAAAGGTTATCTGACTTCCATTTCATTTAGGGATGAGCAGAGACCCCAATGGACATTTTCCTTGAGGAAAAACTTTCTTGAGTAAAATATACCTGATTTTATCTTTAAGTCTCTAATAACTAATGATCAATCAGATCAAAGTTCAGTCACTTAGGATGCTACCAGAGTGGCCAGTGGGAGTCCTGGGAGATCTGGCAGGCCTAAGACCTATGTGGGAACT